GCCGCAAACTTCAAGGCAATTTTAAGTCGTCTCGGGAGTATGCTTATAACCGACAATAAAAAAATAAAAAAACTTTTAACCCCAGTGGGCATGGGGCGTGGACAAGACGTCTTTTGGACGTTCAATTAGCGTCCGTCCGTCTTATTTAAATTCTAAACGTCTTTTGGACGTCTTTTTTGCGTCCAATAAATTTTTCGTCTAAAAAATATCCAGAATGCTTTATTAAATCAAAATTAATTTAATAAAATCACGCAACCATCAAGACTTTATTTTTTAATTAGAAACTCTTTTTAAAACAAATGTAAAAAAAACTTTCACAAACACACACAGTATATATATATATATATATATATATATATATATATATATATATATATATATATATATATATATATATATATATATATATATATATATATATATATATATATATATATATATATATATATATATATATATATATATATATATATATATATATATATATATATATATATATATACTTTAAAGTTACGTTACGTATTGTAACATAAACGGGATGCGACTTTACAAACCCACTATAAGCACAGAATAGCCATTAAAACTGGCCAATCTGATTCGCTTATTTTGAAAGAGAGGCAAATCCGCAAAATTGGAATATAAGAAAAATATTCGGCGTTAAACATAAAAATAAAGAAAAATAGTTCGATTTTGTTTACTTTTTGCTCATTAGTTTGTGTTTATTTATTTAAAATTGTTAATAGATTTTGTATTTATTTATTAAAAATTGGACTCCGTTGCTTACTATTTTATTTAATTCAGAAGTAGTTTATGATAATAAAACTGTTTATCAGAGGAGAAAGCTAATCAACACTTAGAAAGAGTATCGAAATAAAAATGCACACTAGATACAACTTACAAAATATACAACTTAGTTAATGTTCAATGCATAAGAGTTTGCTGTACCCAGTAGATTTGATTTACATTTAACTTTTATGCTTTTAACCAGCTTGTATGTGTTATTTCTCCTTACTCTAGCTGCATTTATATTACATTGATATAACAGTATCATAATAAAATAGTCATATAACTGAAAAAAAAAATTAATTTGTAAACTGCATTTATCAAAACATCTAAATAAATATTAACGTAAATATACACATACGATGTTAATACTAAATTTAAATAATATAAAAATATAATTTTAATTTTGTATTTTATTTTCTCTGCTCAGAGAATCTTTTGTTGAAAGTAATAACCCTTGAAACGCCACATCAGTTTCCTCTGTGCTAGTAATATAAAGATTAATAATTGGGGCAGGTGAGGTTTCTTAACTGTGTTGAAGGAAAACTTCAATTCAAAATCCTCACTTATATGTTAAGGGTAGAAGGAGTTTTTCCTTGGATTGTAATCTTCCAATTGATAGTTTTACCATAAAATTACTCAGGTCTGTTTTGTAAAAGGTTAACATTTAGAAGGTCATCCATTTGTAATAAAATTACTTTAAATTTTCTTTAATATTGTTTTAATTAAAAAATAACACTATGGAAAACTGTCTAAATCAAATAAGTGTGAAAATATGTGTGTAAAATAGTATAACTTGTTTTTTATTATTGGTTATCAGTGTAGGGAAGACCTAGGCTAGTTGCAACGAAATTTAAAAACTGCATTTATCTCCTTAAACTCTATTATTTTTGAAATTTTTTTTCAGGGTTATTATTATTACTAGTAATGTCATGGTAACATTAGCATGACATAAGTAGTAATGTCATGCTAATGTTAGCATTACCCGCTTCCTTCCAAGTGAATAATGCAGCACCTTAGTTTGTATAATTTTTGTAATATTTTTAAAGTAACTTCAGAGGGTATATGCAAATATAATTCTTAAAACTGCATTTACTTTTATTTTTATAATTCGAAATTTATTATTTACAGTGTAATAGGTAAATATTGCAGCGTAATATTGATATTGTGTTACTTTATTTTTTTGCAGTTTTACCTCTATAGTTCCACACTTGTATGGCATAGAATTCCACAGTATCATTTTCTAAGTAAAATGATATTATGGAAAGTTTGAAGCAAATTTTTGCAGCTGGATTCCCTTACAAACATAAAACTGTTACATAACTGAGTATTTTTATCATGACACCATCACTAGGAAGGTTACCATCAAAAGTTTAAGAGCTGCTTTCCTTAACCACACTTGTGGTTATTTTTTGGGGGATTTTATATCAGAGTTTTTACTCTCCTAGGTGAGTTGACTTCTCCATTAGTAAGATCCTCACTAGCCTAAAATAAATAGCCAGCTAAAAAAAATTATAATTTTTAGCTTTTCTTTTTACTATTCTATATGTAAATAAGTTATTTATTCGAGGTAAATTAGCAACTTTCCAAGTTTTAATTGCGCTCATCGTTGTTAAATCACAATTCGTCTTTGATTGAATGTATTTGGCATATAATCCAATATTTCAGCAATTATTTACTAAATTAAGTTCAACTGGTTGTTATCAATGTTCTTTAGTACATAATCATGGTTGAGATCAATATCAATTTATTTTATCGTTGATGTTGTTATCAATGCTCTTATAATTTAAAGACAAATGTATTTGAAATTCAGTTTTGCACAACAACAAATAATTTACTTCAATGCTTCAACAGTTGTCATTAATAGAATTGTTTTTCAGTTTACATTTTTTTTTTTACCCTTCACATGTTTCTGCAAACTTTTTGAGAATTAAAATGCATGATTGAGAATGAAAATGCTTTAATAAAATAACTAAATTTCATATTTTGATGGATACCTAAATTTTAATAGTTTATGCTAATTATTTTAATTTATTTATAATAAATAATTTATGTCATTTAATAGTTTTTTATTTTGAATGAAAGATTAATTAACTGAATCAGAAAACAAAATTCAAATGTTTTAATGAAAAAAATAAGTTAAATATACTGACTGTTCAAAAATCTATTGTTTAATAATCGAAAGATTGAAAGTAATTTTATGCGGGTGGTTAGATTTAAAACTCTTACCCAGAAGGCAAAAAAATAAAAAAGACGTTTAAAAGAGATCTAAAAGACCCCCAAATAGAAGCCACAAGACGTCTAAAAGACGTCTTGTGTCTGCTGGGTAGTTAAAAAAGGAATATCAGAATTTTACTACATTACACAGTAAACTTATCACTATTGAGATAAATTATGTGAAATATGTGTAAAGTTGTCACATATTTGATAACATTTTTCAAATATGTGATAAAATATGAAGACAAACACAAGGGGTCACGCGTATGTAAAAAAAAAGGGGGCGGGGAGGGTCTAAACAAATACTCACCAGAGGGCTGGGGATTTAAGGCTGCACGTATGCAAAAAAAAATATTATGGTGACGAAATCTAAAAAGTTTTAACTTTTTGTACATAAGAGTTGACAATAAAGTTGATAAGTTGACAAAAAAATTTTGTACACTTTTTGTACAAAAGAAGCCAGAGGTAATAACAGAGTTGTCCGCCGTCAGAACGGTTTTTTGTAGGCACAATAATTAGGAGGCCGCGGCAATGATTTTGGAAGGATGGTGGCGGCGAGAAGATTTTCAACGTTTGTCAACTATAACAGTTGATGATGCAAAGCGGCAAAGTAACTTCTGCCTCCACTAAAAGTTGGTCTGCCAAAAGACCAACTTTTAGTGGAGGTAGAAGCCATTGGCGGAAGATTTACGCTGTTTATCTATTGATAAATCGTCGATAAAGTATGTACGTTCATAGAGGGGATTTTTAGTTAACACTGCTCCTACGGCTATATTATTTGATGTATGTACACTGTAAACAACAATATCTTTGAGATTTCGCGAGGTTAGACTTATTTTGTTTTATCTCCACTTTTTTGATTATAATTTAGGTTTCAATATTGTAGCAAAATATTATTTTGATTTACATAACGCAATTAATAACTCAAATTTTTTTAAAAAGTGGAGATAGAACAAAATGATTCTAACTTCGTGATTTTACGATAACCGTTTTCTCACATTTACATTCTATTTGTTTTATTTTCGTTTAACATTCATTCAGATACACTTCAATAGTCTCAAGTTTCTCATTAATTCTAAAATCCGTGTATTACATTTCCACTTAATTAAGGGGGCTGCATATGTAGAATGTACGCACGTCTAATGAGGCTGTGAGCGGCTTTACCTTAATGTGTGCAAGTAACAGGGAAATCTTTTGTGATATTCCGACTTATGTACAATGTAAATAGCCATCAAATGAAAATTTAAAGGCTCAATTTTAATATTAAACAATCTATATCAATAGAAAGAAAAATTGGAAATGTGTTAAGGTTGTTTCAATGCAAAGCAAAACATTACACCTCAAAAAACTGGGAAATGCTTGTAACATGTCGCCAAATAAGTGTAGCGAATTGATAAAAATTATTATTAACTTCATGAAGGTTAGCAAAGCGATCGAAACAAATATTTATTTAAAGATGTATTTAGAAGTTCGAGCAAATATTCCGAGTTATTATTTTATATAAATGTGCAATATAATTGTCTTGTATAGTTTCATTATTATTTGTATGATTAAATCAGTATCGTATTGAATCATTAAACGAGTTGAATCTTAAATTACAGTGAAAGAATAATGAAATACCATGTCAAATTTTTCCAAAAAGGTTAGCGCAAAAATACTCAAGTATATTCGAATAAAATATAAATTATATAACAATACTTTTAAGACTGCTAAAAAAATACGTTAATGACTTTGAGCATTAGCAACATTTTGTTCAACAGCTAGACTGATATTTCTTTGTCGCTTAACTTTTTTCCGTTTCAAAACTTCAACTTTAGTTGGTCTTCCCATCGGCACTGGTCTACCACCACGTGTCAGACCTTCTCTTCGTCTCGCAGCAGCAGTCGGTTGCGTTTTAATTTGTCCGAATCTTCTTTTTGAGCATAATGCTGTTTTTAATGAAAACAGAGTTGCTAAAGCGCTTTCGGTGGTATTGACACTTTTCAGTCTGAGCTTTAAACTATTAATAATTTTTTTAGAATTGGGATCGATTTTAGCTAAATCTAATAACTTTTTAAATTCAAATATAAATTCTTCACAATCTGTATTTAAAGATTCCGATTGGTTTTTTTTTCAGTACACGTCAATGACAAAATATCTTCGTTATTTGCATCGCCAGAGATCAAACAGTTTTCTTGAGTTTCAACTGCGAAAACAACAATTTACTGTTAATTTAATAAATGTAAACCATGTTATAAAATTATTATATTATAAAATCATGTATGTATTCAATATAAATTACAAAAAATTAAAACTAATTGCAGATATCAAGGTAGTTGGACCAAAAAAGACCCGTATCGAATAATAATAATTTTACATACATACATATATACATACATACATACATACATACATACTTATGTGCGTGCGTGCGTGTGTGTGTGTGTGTGTGTGTGTGTGTGTGTGTGTATGTGTGTTCTAATAAACAAATATATTTTCAGATGAAACAAAGTGGGCTTATATCGATGCAACTACTTTATTTGCCTTTACAATTCAATTACAAACCTAAAATATTAGAAGATATTTCAATTTCGCTTTGATCTATATCTCTCAAACTTAAAAAAAATTCTGGTTCAGGGCACTTCGATCCAAGTGCAAGCTTCCCAAGTTCGTATCTGTCTTTCGATGTAATAGGTGGAGCGCACGGAAAATTAATTTTAAAAAATTTATGTATTGCAGCCATGTGTTTACAGAATCCACCTTGCCTACCACTAGGACATGAACAGTAGCCAACGTCACTATTGACTGTATATTCGACATTTGAATTTTTAAAACTAGGTACAATGTAAGTGTTCCTCTCCAACAATTTAATAGAACTAATGTTTATTTTTTCAGATTTTTGACATAATTTGTTGTAGAATATTTCATAGGCAGAGCAACGATTATATGCAGTATTCAGAAGACGGTTGCTATAATATCTGTCCCAAACATTGACAGTATAGTCTACAAGTGCTGCAACATTGAATGCTTTTGTTCTACATAAAACAATATCTTTAAGGATTCTTATTGTTGCTTCACTAAAATTATTTGTATTGTGGTTTCGAATAATTAAGTCTTTTCTATATAACATGACAAATTCAAACTTTCTCTTGTTATAGTATTTTTTAACCCTAATATAAAACTTTGGGTGCGTTAATTTTATGCTTTTTAATTGGTGCAACGATAAGTCAAGTTTTTCGCTTGTATCAGCATACATAATCTAGAAAACAAACTTGTAGATAATTGCACTTGAAATTCCATATAAATAACTTTCATTTCAAAAAATAGTAAACGAATTAAGAATTACTATATAGTTAAGTGGTTATAAATCTATTTTTATATGTAACTTAAATACATTTTTAAACAAATGGTAAAGTTTTTGACGATCAGTTTTTGCAGCTTTTTTAAGCAACCAACGCCATTGTGCTTGTAATACATGAAAATAACATAATAACATTGTTGCTGTTGGCCATACAGAACTTAGTGCATTTTATTCTTCACTTGAGTCATCCAGCATAAAAACTTGGGGCTCCTACAAAAAAATAGTTAAAATACAATGTAAAACATTTAACAAATAGAAATTCCGATTTAAATTAGGTATTGTGGCGCTTGTAAACATTTAAGTTTAAAACCTTATCTAGATCTTTATATGTTTAAAGTTCAGCCCTTATGTAGATCAGTGTTTTGATAAAGTTCAGAAAACCTTTAGCCAAAAAATATTTTCAAGAGTTATTGAAATGCTGTTTAGTTAATTAGGAATTGCTGTTTAGTTATTTAGGAAAGAGCTTGCATTTGATTTTGAAGTGATCATCCATGTTATATTTTAAAAACTCGGAAAACAGTGCATAAAACATCCGGTATATATTTTCCTAATTTTCCTTTTAACTTAGCTTTTAATGTGTGACAACTTTAAATCCAGACAAATTTAACAAAAGAATGTCTTGTCTAACGGAGTTATCAATCTTATTAATTTAGAAAGCATAATAACAGGTGAGGTTATCAAATTATAAAACATTGTTAGACATATCAAAGTTTGTCAGGATTTTTTGTTGTCTCATCTTAGCTGGTGGGTTTCTTCATTTTTCTGAAATTTTTCTTAATTTTTGTATGGATTTTCTTAATTTTTGTATGAGTGATGACTGCAAAAGTTAATAAACAAATATATTACAAAAATTTATACTTTAAATTAAAACATTTTGGAAATCCAAAAAAACTAAAACTTGAGAAAAATATCCGGAATTTTACAAATAACCCGAAAAAGGTAATTCCTGACTTTGTAATACAAAGATATCAAATTGTATATATAAAAGAAGGTATATATGTTAACCATTTCATGTATAGAGATAAAAGAAAAAAAGATAAAGTTAGGCTATTATATTATATTATTATATTATACATATGCATACATAGAATATACTTATAAAACTTTAAATTACCTCAGATCCTCCAAAACATCTTGGGCATTCTAATGTAAGAAGTTTGAATGCTTGCTCATAATTCTCTTCAGTTTTATTAGCATGAAATAGAATAGCAACAGGGATACATCCTGCGGAACTTGATGTAGACACAATTGTAACATTTGTTTGTGAGATATCACAAGATGAGGTAGTATCTACAAACACAATTTCGGAAGAAGATTTTCTTAGTTGATTCCTTTGCATCACTTCAGTGAACACTAGTACAGACCATTTCAGATCTTCTTCAATAACTGTCACCAACGCTCCTAAATTAAAAAACACTGAAAACTGCCAAAAAATCTGGCAAGATATAAACCACCAATTGATAAAACGATATGGGCCAGTTCATTATACTTTAGCCAGTGGCCTGTGGGACACCAAAAAATAAAAAAAATTATAAAAAATAGCGAATAAGTGAAGTTAGCTAAAGAACTTTTCTATTAACCAACAAGGTCTTACAGGTTACTTTACTGATTAGCTATTACTATCAGCAATACATGGGAAAATTACAGAAAGCTTGTTACATAAAAGAACTCAAATGTGTCTATAAACATATTATTCATTTTCCAAAATGCCCAACTAAAATGGCAGCATTTTTTAATAACCCTATTTTCTTACCTATATGAGTTAAATGTATTATTTAACTCATATAGGTAAGAAAAATTTAAAATGTAAAATTTATTGGAAAACAATGCCCCTCTAACCTGCCTGCTAACATTGAAGGGGTGAACTTGATTTTGTCATTTAATAATAATAATAAAAAAGATATGGTTGGTTGCCCCCTCCCTGATCTAGTCTTTATGGCTTTTTGCAAATGTATCTATTTAGGTGCTTCTAGCACAAAATAACTGTTTTTTAATACTTTTCTGTTAAAAGAACTTTGTTATTGCTTTTTTTTTAAGTTTTATTCATTATATTACCTTTTATTTGTTGGACTCTATACACAAAATTATATAGGAGAAATAGCTTAAATAAATGTCCCACAAAATTTTCTTTAAATTGGTTGAAATATAACGAGCTTACACATATCTGACTTTTTTATATATTTTTTTGTAATATATAAAAATACATGTCAACTCAAAGTAGAATTTGGCAGCAAACCTTCTCAATATAAACTAGGTTTTTTATTTATCATTTATCAATCTTATTTTCAAAATAAATCATTTAAATAAATTATTTTAAAATAAACTGATTATTGTTGTTAATCTCATTTTTACCTGATTCTAAGTATACATTTCTTTTATTCTTTAACATCTCTAAAGTATTTTTAAGAGCAAAATGTTTTTCCTGCCATAAATTGTATAAATAATAAATTGTACGTGACGAAGGATTAAGTGAGGCATCTGCCAAAAGAAAGGAGCCATTTTCATGATAAATAAAGTTATCTGTGTGTATACGTTTTGCTTGAGCTGGACTTAATCCACTGTTAAAATAGTTATAAAAATGTTTTTTTGTAACTGATGACACTGGTAAGTATTTCATCGAATCTGCACATTCAATGTTATGGTTATGGTTTTTATGAACTACTATAACTCCACTAAGGGAAGGTTCTTCTTTTAGATATTGATCATTTTTCTTAGTATTTGCATTTACTTTTTTGATTTTGATATCAATTTCAGCTACACAGTATGTATTTTTCCTTGATTTAATTTCTTTATTTAGTTTTGAATGTTGACATTGATATTTTCTATGTGCCACAAGCCTAAATAAAATACATTTGCAAGATATATATACACTTACTGTTAGTTAATGCTTGTATTATTATTTATTAGCCCTCAAGACCTATAAGACCTGACTCACTATTGATTATGATATGAAAAAAATATATAATAGCTTAGTAAAGAAGCTAAGGGGGTTCCTAACAGACAAAGAAAAGAAAATACAAAAACTAGCAATAACATAATAATACAAATAACAACAATACATACCCATTTCGTAATGTTACCAAAAAAAAAAAATTATTCTAACCCTAACTGTGTTGCTAACCCTAAATTTTTTTTAAACTGTTAGCTATTGATCGATAAATTAAATTTCAAATCATAAAAATTTACTAAATTAAGATAATATCTTAACATTAAACAAACTAAACTTGTGATATAGGCTAGAACACCAAGGCAAATCTAAAGAAATGAAACAACAATAATAAAAAGTAGACATGCTTATAAGATAATACCACCATTTTGGGATGATGATGGTAAAACTTAAGGAATGAAATGATAAAAATGGAGAAAAATATAAAAATTTAAATTTGCAAACAAAATAAAAACTAATACAAAATACATAATCCTTATATAACTAAAAATATGACCAAAATTACAGAACTAAAAAAATGAAATAAAAAAATAACAATAATGGGTATAATACATCATTGTTTGTGTGAAATTTTTAAAATGATGTTCCTTGAAATGAATGTTATTTAAATTTAAAAAACAATATATTAAACTACCTTGAACACAGGACATAAAATTTGCCATGTAAGAAGCACATTTTTTTTTTAGATAAACATTATCAACTGTTTGATCTTGAATTTAATTTATGGTCATTAAGTGTGCTAAACTGACAACATTTTAGCGTAAAGTTTGCTCAACTGTAACCAAGGAATAAATACCCTTATACAACTTGTAGTATGTGCGTGTTTAAATTATATATATATATATATATATATATATATATATATATATATATATATATATATATATATATATATATATATATATATATATATATATATATATATATATATATATATATATATATATATATATAT